GGCCCAGCTAGGCCGGAGGAATGCTTTTTGACCCGTATCCTTTTGCTGGTGAAGAGTCCTGGTCTACTCGGAGAGGCGAAACGTCCGGCGCGACTTCGAAGGGAAAGGGTAGAGATTGGGGACACATATCCCGCATCCTGATGTGGTGGCGGATCATGGTAGGCGCGGAGATCTAGGTAGACAGTTGCCTTCCTCTCATCCGTCGCCCCTATAAAACTAAAGGGTTCGCCCCCAGGGTTTCGCACATTGCCTCCTTGCCTTTGCATCTACAACCTCCGCCGCCAATCGCCTAAGCCTCCCGCATCCGCGTTTTAGCCGTCATCGAATTCACATCCACCACTCCAATAGTCCAATGGAACCGTTGTGCTGCTCTGATATTACCCTCTAGCGCATGGAGGGCCTCATTCGTTGTGGTCTCCTTTGCGCGCAGACCGCCACCGAGGAGTGGTGGCTACCCGGCGATGAGGACGCACCATCACCGCCCGAGGGCTACGTCATGTCCTTCGCTCACTTCCACGAGTGGGGATTCACCGCCCCCGCCCACAAGTTTCTTCGGGGATTCTTGCACTACTACAAGGTAGAGCTACAGCATCTTAATCCCAATGGAATCCAGCACATTGCGGCGTTCGTCGCCCTGTGTGAGGGGTTCCTGGGGATTAGTCCCCACTTTGACCTATGGCGGTACTTCTTCGCCATTACCCTCCTAAAGAAGCGGGAGAAGAAGCAGGAGCTGAACGTGCTGATGGGATGTGCCGACATTCAGCTTCGCGACAACCGTGTCAACGAGTATCCATCGATGCGTCTGTCGACCTCCAACAAGGGGTGGCATTCGCATTGGTTCTACGTCAAGAACGACACAGCCGCCCCCTTGCCAGAGTTCACCGGGCGCCTCATCGAAGAGGTCTCAGAATCATGGAGGAGGTGGGGAGTCCCGGAGAAAGACAAGAAGAAGATCCACGACCATCTCACCGGCGTCCAAATTCTGAAGGAGAGGGGCGTGAAGGGGTCGGGGATCATTGGTGCCTATCACGCGTGGAGGGTGGCACCGCTAATGAGGTGCACACTTCCCCTACACATGATGGCGCCCAGGGCATCACTCGACGGGACGGCGCTTGCCGAGGGAGTACTCTCCCCCTCCGAAGTGGCGCAGCGTATCAAGGAGGCGATGGAGCCTCCGCAGGACGACGCCGGCGCTATCCTTGATTTTGTATATCCGGTGCCGGGGCATCCCCCAATGTGGCTGGAACCGAGGTACATTGTTTTTGTAAGTTTTCTTTCCTCGTGCCCCCTTTTTAATTGAACTCCCGACCTCTTGATGCTGATATTGAGATAGGGGGACCAGCCGAAGAAACTTGTCCTTACGGATCTTTCGGCTCCACTGCCGAAGGACCCGGCCATGACGGCGGCCAACTGCACCATGGCCGAGCGGCAGCAGAAGGCGAAGGAGGACGAGAGGAGGAAGAAACAGTAGAAGCTGCGTGCGCAGGAGTGCGGGGAGGAAACCGACAGTGACGATGACGACGACGAGGAAGAAGAAGATGAGGTAGTTGTCGACACTGAGTGGGATGACCTAGGGAGCGAGGATACGCTAATAGGTACCCACTCGTCCATGTAGGGACCCTTCCCATTCCACGTAAGGGAAGGTGCGGCCATGAGGCTAGAGGAGGCGGGCTAGACCATCGGCCCATCCTCAGAACAAGTAGGGGATGGCAAGATCGGCCACCGCGCCCAAGGTGTCAGCGGAGGGGAGCAGCCCCGCCGCCATGCCTCAAGAGTCAGCGGGGGCGACGGATCTGTCGTCGCGCCCGAGGTGCTAGCGGGGGTAGGCAGATCTATCGTCGCGCCCGAGGTGCTAGCGAGGGCGGGCGGTTCTACCGCCATGCCTGAGGTGCCAAGGGAGGGGGATGGCTCTGCCACCATGCCCCCGAGTGCAAGAGAGGCGAGCCCCTCGGCCCAGGAGTAGGGCCGGGCACCAAACGGCCCCGTCCCGAGGAAGCGGAGCAAGGACCTAGGGGTTCGTCCCCCAAACGTATCCTGCGCCCAACGACACCGATGTAAGTCATTGACTTCTCTGTTTTTCTCTATTTTTAGTGTGACTCACACCTTTTGTTTCTTGCAGCGTCCTAAGACGGGGACACTCTTTGGCGCTGGCGCCCAAGAAGAGTGTCGCCATCCAGGCGAGACGTCGATCGTCACCCGACATCGCTCTTGCTTCAGGCGGGAACAGAGATGGCGTCACAGCCTCGTCGACTGATCAGGCGCCACCCACAGTGGTGCCTGTGCCCTCGGTGGACCAAACGGTTGCCGGGGCTGAGGGAATGCCCTCAGAGGTCGCCGAGCAACCGGCAATCAAAGCGATTCCGCTGCCGACGTCAGAGCAGACGGAGCTGCCGCTCGCACTCATGGCGTCGACTGCTATGGGCGTGACATCGCCAGTCAAGGCCCCTCCAACATAGATAGGGGTGGCAGTGACTATGATGAGCCGGACGTAGCCTTGGCGGTGCCCGAGGGAGCAGCGCGATCCGCGCCACCGGCGGCACTAGTGATGGCGCCCGACGTGGGCCGATCAAAGGGAGGCGTGGCCAAGGGGTCCCCGGGCGCCGTGGCGGTTGTGGAGAGGACCGGCGGGGAGTCTCCCTTGGCCCTGATGTCGGGGGGCAGCCACTCACCCGTCCAGGGTGAGCCACTGCTCTAGTGGATGGATCCAAAAGACCCGACGTCGATACTCTTCTCTCTCAATGATCCTACTGAGAGCATAGAGCGGGAGAGTCTCAACGAGGGGATTTTGGCCATGCTAGAGGCTCTGAACTAGGCCAGGGGCGTCCTACGTGACGTCGTCATTCCTACCGACTGGGTATTCACTTAATCTCTCCTCTCGCTTTCTTCTTTCTTCATGTATTTTTGTGTTTTGACATTGATCTTCTTTCAGTCCCTTATTGCTCATAGCCGGGAGAAAGCTCGGTTCCTCCATGAGCAGAAGGAGAAATGGGACCACCTCACTGAAGAGGCCTGGCTATGTAGGGATGTGCATGCCTAGCTTGCTGTCGCCCAACAGAGGGTGGCCGAGGAGGCGACTGGTCTCTAGAAGCGGGAGGCCGAGGCACGTCGGGACGCAGAGGATGCTGAGAAGGCATTCCAGGATCTATCGGCGAGGGCATGGTAGGACAAGGAGGAGGCCACTAGAGTCCAAAAGGAGTGGGACGAGCTGCTCTAGAGGGATGCCGAGGCCCGCTAGTGGGTCCTTGACCTCCTGGCCGAGGTGGAGAGGGAGCGGGAGCGGAAGATCAAGCTAGGAGCCGAGGAGAGGTCCGCGGCCCTACAGCAGAAGGCAAACCTAGATGCCGAGGTGGTTGCCCAGCTACGTAGGGAGCATGATGAGCTATGCCAGACTATGAAGAGGCTCTGCTCGGAGCGCGGCACAGCCAACGGAGAGCGCGACAAGGCCATCTGAGAACGTGACGAGGCGCAGTAGAGCATCGGCTCCCTACAGGCCGATCTTGGAACCACGGTAGCCCGAAGGCTGGAGGTTGAGAGCGTCTCCACCGGGCTAGTCACGGAGCTTGCCAAGGTGTGGAGGATCCTTCAGGCGAAGAGCGATGAGCATGATCTTCTACGCGCTACCGTCGGGGTGGTCTTCGATGACCTAGAGGTGGCGCGATCGGAGGGAACCAGCTCGCTTGCGGCCCATGCTGTAGATATCACGGCGCAGGTGCGCCAGCTCAAGAGGGAAGCTCTTCGCTCTAGGATTAACCAAGCCTTTGCCATCGCCCACTCCCACTATGCTGATAGTATCGACTTGGAGACAATGAGCCTTGGCTTCGTGCCTGGCTATGAAGCCTTCGAGCTGGATGAAATAGGGAAGGCGGCGGCTCCTGTCACATGCAACCTGGCGGACAAAGTTGAAGAGATAGTTCTCCCCCAGAGGGGATAGTTAGTCAACTAGGTTGGGTGATCTTGGATAAGCGTCATTGTACTCTGGACAATTGCCAATCCTTATGTATCAAGAACAAATTCATAACTTTGTTATTTTGTTTCGTTTAATTGAATTTGTTTCCTTCCCTTTTTGTATGTGATAAGAGAGGGCTCACGTATTCTGACCTTTCCGTGCGTTAAAACCATAGGGACTGAGGTGTAAGGGGAAAACTTCAATCACACCGGTGAGCAAAGACACCGTAGCCACCTAGGCGTAGGTGTTTTGTAGTTCAACCAGGCCTGATTAATCATTCATTTCCACAAACCTTGCCACTAGGTTTAGTGTGAAGAAGGGGTCTGACGCGGCGACTGTTTCAGAAAAGGTATACTTATACCTTTATCAGCCCTCGAGTGAGATCCGCCCCTTTGCCGCCGCTGGGGTCAGATGTCACTGAAAATCGAGGGGATGACAGCGAAACTTAGGAGAATGCATCTCTTACATTCGCACATACCCTCTCCCTAGGATCTTAGCTATTATTCTGCGACCGTGCATTAGGTCTCCTTGTAAGTCCAACCTTCCTTGATCCCCCACGTGTGGCGGGGATTTGGTCAAGGGCCGGCTTGTTTTTCGTGACTGTCGCCCCATCCGTAGTTTCCACAATAGGAGGGGTTGAGTTAATGACATTTGCCTTGACGGCTCGGGTGACACGCTCGATGAGCTCGCTGACGGGTGTGTTCGAACGGAATTTGGTTCCGTCGCTTGTAACGGGGTCGGCGAAGCCCTCGGGGGGCATTCCATTGTTCCTTAACCCACCTTCCAACAGATTCCTCCTCAATGGAGATTCTATGGGCTCGACTAGAGGCTAGGATTGAACGATCATTATAAGAGCTTTTTCTTGGTTACTCCATTGACTTCCACATTCAGCTCAAGACTCAATGATATCAAAAATCAATCAACTTGAATATAACGATAGGTTTGACATTTTGGTTGATTTTCATTAATGCCTGGTAACTTTGCTTAATTGATCTTGTCAAAAACCACAAAAGTCAATCTCACACCCATTTGAACCGAACGATCGTAGAAAAGCTTAGCTTGTCTCTATCTTTGACTTCATGGCGCCCTTGACACTCTTTATTACATATTCCTTCAGGATATTGTCATACCATCTGCTAGACTGCAGCATTAATATTGGAAGAGATCAGATTCACTGACGTTCATAAAAAAGGGATCGTTAAATAATGATTAGTTCATTGATGAACTGATCGACAGAGAAAACTGATAAGCAAACAAACCATATTTTGAATGAAAAGAACAACACATATCCAAGGAGGCCGCGCCAAAACCTACAAATTAGGCTAACAGAGCCGGTTTTGTACAAGACAGTCTTGACGAGGGGAACTATATGACATTCAAGTTCAACAAGTATGATATCATGAATTCACTGTTCTTAGAATCTTTTTGGGAAACAACCAAAAAAAGTCCACACCATTATTTATCTTCAATTCAACAACCAAGACTATGCATTCTATCAGAAATTCAGAATGGAAAATACTCCTCTACCTTTTCACATTTTCCTAATAACAAAACTGACTTCTTGATTGAGAATCCAAATCATGTGATGTGTGTCATATGAGAAATTTGTGCGAGTTGCAAACCTCAAAAAATTGTTGTACAGTTAGTGTCCAAATATAATCTCTTCATATCTAAACCCAAATTAAATACTCTCATCACATTGGTGTGAAAAATATGAACTTAAACTCAAAATTCATGCAGGGTAAGGATATTTATGTATACCTCCATTTTATTCATAAATCAAACATGATAAGCATATTTATACCTTCATTTGTAATGTTAAGGTGGTGGCTCTGCTGCCCGTGTCCATGGATAACAATCTCACGTCCCCTATCTCCTTGAGGCACTCAAGTATACTAACTACAGCATCCATGGCATTGCACTCTGACCCTACCATTATCTTCAGGCGAAATTCCTGTGATGTTTCCTTTACCGCGCATGCTTCTCTATTGATATCGATATCGACCTCAATCTGTTTGCCAGAAACATCGCCTGGATCGCCTCCATTGTCATGGCGGTGCAGCAACTCTACTAGCATCCTGTTCTTCTCCTCTAACTCAGACACTCGAGACTCGAGAGTGCTCACGTAGTCCCTTGCTCTGATCAGTATGGATGCTTTATCTTTCTGCCACGACAAAGCAATATGTATTTCTTTTAGAAATGGAAATGGTCTGACAGATAACTTGATGCAGGAGACAGAGGATGAATCGAGTGCCCAATAAGTACCTTGGATGCAGGGGGGAGCACTGTCCTGAGAGCCCTGAAGCTGTCGTTGAGTTTCTCGCGGCGCTTGCGCTCCGACAAAACGTGCTGCTGCTGGTTGCAGTTGCTCCCGCCGGTGGGCGGCGCTACTGCCATTTCCATCTGGTAGCAGCACTGCCGCCACTGGGCAAGCCTGACCATGTGCATCCATCCCACAGCTGACATGGCCGCCTTGATCGCCCTCTGCCCGCCGGAGCCTGGCTTATTGGGCTTCTTCTTCGGGCTGAGGTGGCGGACGTAGGGCATGAACGCGCCGCCATGGCCGTTCTTGAGCTGCGCTCGTTCGTTGTGAGCTTCTTGGCAGTTGAATTCGTCCAGGTTTAGGATCTTGTCAAGGTTGCCATAGCACTGTTGGTCATAGTGGCGGTCGCTGCCGTAGGTGACTGGGGAGAGCTGTCTCTGCTGGGAAGAGACCTCTGCAGGTGCCGGGTGGTGGCAAGAGTTTGCAGTGGTGATGTTGCTGCTACGTTGCTTGAGCGACGAGATCTCGTCGGGACTTCCAGAGAAGGAGCGGAACATGGATGATTCAGACGAGGGCACCACCTCTGGCTCTGTGTGTCCATTTTTCTCCATGTCCATCAGCAAGTAGAACTGCGGCCACCAAGAACGATGCAAGAATGAAGCATGCATAGGCATACATAGTCAAACAGGGAAAAAAAACTCATTTCTAGAGGTTACTAGGTCGATTGAAGATCGCATACTAATTTCATGTAGTACAAAAAAAAACAGCTGCTGATTATGAGCGTGCATGCATGATATGATCGTTGCCTGTTGGAGCTGCTCCTCCACTTGCGAGCTAATCGGCAGGTCCTGCTTCTGCTGCACCTCCAAGCCACTCCTGCTGCACAAGCAAAATAACAGAAAAGAAAATTGTTAACTTAAGACTCAAGTGTCGCCTGACGGTCAAACTTAAGAATATACCTACTACCTATATTGGCTAGCTGCTTGCCTGGATCATCAAGCTACATGTAGGAGTATAGCTATGTGCCAAGCGTTCTTAATCTTACCTCGATACGCCGTCGCCAATTCCAGCGCCTAGGAATGGCAACCAGCTGCTGCAGCCGTCCATGACGAGCTCGCCGCCGGCTACCTACCTAAGCGGCTAAGCGCCTTGGAGAAGACTAGCTAGTGAGAAGGTGCATGCAGTGCAGTTAGCCATTTTCGCACAGAAAAGGCTATATATAGGCGCGCGGAAATGGAGCTGGTGGTGGCGGGGCTCATCATCAGCGTGTTACGTGGAAGCTTCCGGTGAAGTCGATCGAGCGACGTGCGTGCGTGAGCACAGCGACGGGCGTGGAATCCATGGACAAATAAACGACCGGCCGTCGCCTCCAGGCGCAGCTGAGTGCGTTGTTCACGAAAGCAGACAACGGACGGTTTAATGCTGGCTACTGCTCCGGCTAGCTCCCGGTGTCGCGTGTTTTGACCGCCGCACACGCTGTCCCCTATGCTAGCCGCCAGCCCGGTACGGCGAGATACTAGGATGGTTACGGGCTACGACGATTGCAGTGCAAGTGTAACCATCAAGCACGTAAGTGGCCAACCCCGACAGTTCGGACTTCGGATCATGCTGAATCGTCAGTGCTTAGACTCGGAGAGTCGGAGGCCTAGTTCAAACCACAACGATCTCTATCGTGCCCGAAGAAATAGGATATGCATTGAATTAATGTAGATCGGGTTGGAAAAAGTAAGGTTGGCCTGAAACATCTGTGTGGAATGGAAGACAGCCTTACATGTCCACATTGTACTCCAACTAACAATCCTACTCCCTCCGATCCATTTCAAATTATAAGACGTTTAACTTTTATATGCATTGTGTTTGCTATGCACTTAGATTTGTCTAGATACATAGTAAAAGCAATACATTAAGAAAAAGTAAAAACGTCTGATAATTTGGAATGGAGAGAGTACAAGAAGCATTACAAGTGTACACACGCTCTTTTTTCATTCTCTAACACAATGCATATAAATGTTTGATAATCTCTATCCGGTTATGATAATTTTATCATTTACTATATGTGTTTCTTCCATCTATGTCTGTAATCAATCTTCCTTTGCATGGCACCTCCATGTGTCTTCAATGAACTTTGTTAAACCTTACATTAGCTTAAGTTATGGTCACTTTTAGTATTATAACATTTCATGATGTCATGATTTTTTTTCACTTTCAATTTTTGTTCTTATTAGTTGTTAAAAAATTATCAAATTAAATTGAAACACTTGTGTTTATTGTGCATTTTATTAAATCTATATTTTTGTGTTTTTGTTAAAGAAAATAAGGATTTTATGGAGTAGGCCGGCATAAACGAACGTCTAAACCCACACCACAGTGCTCAACCTCGGCAATAGAGCTCGAAGTGAGATCTAGAAAGGGCCAATGGTGATAGCATCAAGAGGATATTAATATTTTATTCTACTAGTTTTTGTTTACAACAAAGAAATATCAAAGACAAATGAGGTCATAGCCACTTGGTTAGAAATAACATCCGTCTCTACTCAAGATGCTATATTTTCTTATCAAATAATTATACTATATTTGTAGCAATACTTTTATGAAATAGAGTGTTTTCAAATATACTGTTGATTTAGATATGTCATAATAATTTAGTTACAATGTTTAAATATATGTAAAGAAACAACTTACATAAATTATTATCATGGGTATTAATATATATTTTTTTTAAAAAAAATTATTAGCATCGTTCCGATATAGCGGTTAAGGAAGCTATTTTAATGATTGCTAATAAATCATTCATCGCTTCATGCATGTATACTCTGCCTGGCACAACATATACCTTTATTTTAAGTTATTTTGTATTTATAACAATAGAAGCGAGTAACTTAGAAATATATAAAATGCATAACTTAGGGTTGTTTAAATATTTAATAATAGCACATGTTAGCAATTTAGATTAGATTTGAAGGGATATTAAATTTATTTCTTTTATGACCACAAATTTAAGATGTTATTTATATTATTTATAATAGTCCTTTCGTTCTCTTTTACATGTCACATTAGTTTTGTCCTAAGTCAAGCATTACTATCTTTAAGCATTTATTTTAAAAAAAATCTTATAGTTTCACAACATATGCATTATATATTATAAAAATATTTCTCATGGTGAATCTAAAAACATAAATCTTATATCATGAACATATATAATTTTTTTGAAATCAGTGGTCAAAGATACAAATGTTTGACTTAGGACAAAGCTAATACAATATGTACTCCCTTTCTTTTTTATCACATGTTGTATTAGTTTTGTTCTAAGTCAAAACATTTGTATCTTTGACCATTGATTTTAAAGAACTTATAAAAATTTATATAGGTTCATGTTATAGGATTTATGTTTTTAGATTCACTATTGAAAATACTTCCACAATAGATAATTCATATGTTGTGAACTTATAAGGATTTTTTAAATAGTTAGTCAAAGATACTAATATTTGACATAGGACAAAACTAACGTGATATGTAAAAAGGAACAGAGGGAGTAATAAAAGATAGAGGGAGTAGAAGGGTCACTAATTCAAATGCAGTTTTTTTAATTACTTTAGAGTATAGTTCACAATGGTATAGATGGTCAACTTAGACGGAGATTTATGATTACTTTATGTTATTTTTCATATAATGGCAGAATTAAGTAATTTTTAGAAAATAAAATATAGCACCCTAAAATTTGTCTCTTTTGAAAATAGGTTTAAAATAATTTATTTCTGAATTTTGTGCTCATAAAATATAGGAAACTAAAAATTTTTATTTAATTAAAATTCATCATAAGGTTTAGCAACATGTTTGTGCATACATGCTGGTGCATTTGTTTCTTTGAATTGTGTGGATTTGATTCAAATTGAAAACATTCAAAAAAACTTTTGAAAAATAAATTTAAAAATAGCTTTGAAGTAAAAGAAAAGAGGGAATTGGAAAATAAAAGAATTTAAAAAGGTTGTAAAATTTATTTTTGAGAACTTACCAAAATTTCTTATTTTTAATTAAGTTGAAAAGTGTATTTGAAATTCTATTCAAATTTGGTTTGGCTCATATTTGAAATAGGTTTTGAAATAAAAGAAAAGGGATTCTTCTCCTTCCCTCTCCTTTGGCCCACTGCTCCTCCCCGTTTTTTTCTCTCCCGCGCGAGCCCAGCTCAGCCTTCCCTCTCGTGACGCAGGCCCAGCCGGTGAACCAGCCCAAGCCGTGTTGGTGCTCCTTCCACCGCAGCCCAGCAGCTGCGCGGCTCGTTTCCCGCTCTTCGCTTGTCCGCCCTCGGGCCGGCCTAGCAAGACCCCACTGCCGAGCACCCCGCCCTCTCTGTCACTCCAGCCCCGTTCTCGTCGACATCGATAGGTGGGGCCACCCTGTCAGCTCTATCCCCCTCCCGCCGCTCATACCCGACGTGGATTCGACCACCACACCGCCGTCGTTCGAGTCCGCACCGTCCCCGTCTCCCTTCGTGGCGTGCCCCCAAGTCTTCCGCGTCTCATAAATATCAGATGCCCGTGCCCACCGCCTCCCTATCCCGCTCCAACCGCATCGCTCGAGCACCCGTAGCCGCGCCACCACCTAGCGCACCACCGTCGCCCAGCCAAGCACAGCCAAGCACAGCCGTCGCCCAGCCAAGCACAGCGCCGCCTCCTCTTGCTCCACGCCACCAAAATCCCCCTAGGTACGTTCGCCATCTCCTCCGCTTGCTCCCTGTGTTTTGCTCGTGGTGAACCGAGGCCTCTAGGGCCGTTTGCAAGTTCACCGCCGAGGTGCTCGTTGCCGTCAATGGGGCCCCACCGCGCCGGGCACTGTAGCCGCCGGCCGGTTCTCTCCTTTTCCCCCGTGGTCTAATCAGCGCCGTTCAATGATGATCCGACGGTCGAGATTTCAAGTTACCCCTTCGCTGTTAGATTTACAAAAAGGCCCTTATAAATACTTGAGACTTAACCCGCAGTCCAAAATGTCTTTCTCGATTCCATTTTCTTCTTTTGAAAGCGTACTTTGTTTCGGTTAGATTGAAAATACGTTTTCACTTATTTACATATTTGCCACTGATTTTGTTTTAGCCATAAGTTCTCCGTTTTAATTCCAATTTGATTCGTTTAAATTGCGTTAGGTTCGTATTTACGTTATCTACGTGTTTATATCACCGTTAGATGTGTTTTCAACTCTTAAAATTCAGGGTAGATTTAATCTATTATTTTATTAAAGGAAATCTGGTTTAATTCATATCTTCTACGTTTTAACTCCATTTTAGCTCATTCATGTTACGTTAGATTCATAGTAACAAGATCTATGCGTTAGTAACAGTGGTTACCATGTCACTATTTCTGGAATTTCATGGTTTAAATTCTAAATTTGAATAATAATTATGCAACTGGGTTTTATAAATAAAATATGATTTGTTTTACTTTAATATTATATTTTAAACCTAAATTTGACTTAAATTATATTATCTATAAAATATCTTGTATATGTTTTTATATAATTAAAACACATGAAGCTAATAGTTTTATATTTTTTCCTATGTGCAAATCTTTCGGTAGATGTATCTTTTTCACCGTGGCTTCGATTAGAGTGTTTTTCGCGTCTGTATGTTCGTAGCGAGATGTAGATTCATTTTACAAACTTTTCATCTTGATTTTATGTTTGGTGTAGTATTCTAATTTAGATCTATTGTTTGCTTCGTGTATGATTGCATGGATGTTTGTGTGGTGCTTTATGATCATGTCCAGTCAATGAGCTTTACGCGTTGAACCAAGAAGCAGATCTTTGAAGATTTGGATTGGAAGAAGGATCTAATTTTAAGGCAAGTATAGCATGGGACCATCTTTGTTACCTATACACCTTTAATCATTTAATTCATACTACATGTGTCTACCTTGACTGTCACTAAGGATTTCCTAGTACTTTGTACCTTGTGCCTTGTTACCTATGGAGTATTGAATTAGGTAGTATGATGCTAGTGTTCAATTAAAGACCATGATCTTGTAACTTGACTAATGGAATATGCAATAAACATTAAAAGATGCTTTTTAGCAACATGGAACAAGGGGCCTAGAGCATTGGGCTATTTTATGGTGCTC